AAAAATATGTTAATGATAAAAATGAAGTTCAGGATAAGGGAAGCAAGGAGATGAGATGAAGGAGGAGCCCAGAGGTGGATATAAGTTCCCGGTAATATTTTAATTCTTGGGTTGCATGGAGGATTTATGATCGTTCATTATGTTATTAAACTATTAAATACATAAACATAAAAATTGCAGAAAAGAACATGAACGGACCAATAAGATTAGTTATAAAAGCTAAGAATTGTGATTAGTCCAATTTTGTGCAACAGAGGGCCAAAATAATGTTATAAAGAAATGCAAAGGATGAAGAACAGTCAAGATATTTTTGAAGAATAACAAGGTGGATATTTACCTTACATTAGATATAGTATAAAATCATAATAATTATATCAGTTTGGTGTTTAACATATGAATAGAAAACGGAATAGAAATGAGAACTCAAAAACAAATTGTGCCATAAGAATGTACTCACAAAATAAAACATACAGTATGATTCCATTTATATAGAATTCAAAGCAGATAAAACTAAGCACTGTTTTATTTAGGAACACTTGCATAAGTAGCATAATTATAAAGAGAAGCAGAAAATTACAATAGTCATCACCTCTTGGGGTGTCTGGCTTTGCCAGTGAGGCATTTCTAAGCCACTGACCATGTTCTGTGGCTTAACTTGGATGAGGTTCACTTACCATTCTTTGAAATGTACATATGTTTTTATTTTCACAGTTTAAAAAAAATGGGAATGAATTAACTGGTGCTAGAATATACCTGGTGCTAGAAAAATAATGTTTGCAAGCCAATCATCCATTTCCTGAGAAATAAAAGTAGCTATAGAGAATTCACTAACTTACCCCAAAAGGGAACACCCCGCCTTTCCCACATGTAAAATTGAAGCCAAGGAATTTAAAGTTTTACTTTCTGAAAACAGTTCTGACTCACTTGGAAAAATCCTCCAAACATTAACACCACTGGGCTACATTGTATCTTGGAAGGTACTAGGCTAAAAGATCAGAAGAGTGAAACTGATTGATTATCTTGAGGCTTGGTGTCCTGTCTGTTTCTACAGAAAGGCAGGGAAGTGTTTTCTTTGTACTAGTGCCAGAGAACATGCTGCCGATCATTTTGCAAAAAAATTAGACTGCATCAAAAACAGAAACATGGGGTACAAATGACATCTGAGCACGGCCTTCACCAAAACCGCTGCTGAGTGGAAAAGGCCAAGAGACCAGGGGTAGACTGCAGTGTGAACTGAGGGCTCCACTTACAATAGTCATCTGCAAGCTCATAGAAGAAAAGAGTGAGTCCAAAATTTTAGAGCAGGGTGGGACACACCCTAAGTTTGTTGATAGGGAAAACTGATGTCCAGCGACACTTCATGAATTACCCAAGATCATTATTAGTCAGGCAAACCCCAAACATGGTTCCAGTATACTTTCCAGCACATAATTCTGGAGACAGCTGCCAGCAGCAAAGCAAATGACAAACTCATTGGCACCACTGAGTTTTAATTCCCTTAGGGTAGCAATAAGAAATTTTCTAGAGAGAAACTTGACTTTATGGTACAATGGCTTAAGAGAGTAGGAAGCCAGAAACATGCTGCTTCTGAAAACAAACTTCCTAAGAATTTCACAACTTCTGATTCTCGTTCTCAGAACCTAAGTGCCAATGTAGATGCACTGTGTTCCTCTGAGTACAGGTTAGCAGAACTCTGTGACAGATCACAAATGGATGTATATGACACACAGGCTGAACAAATAGATGCATATTCTCAATAACTTGATCCCTACATAGAAATTATCTAAAATGTTGCCAACTTACCATAGCCATGAGTATGTGTTTCCTAAATATTAAAAGCACAAGAATATTTTTAAAATACTAAAAAAACATAAATTATGTTTTTTTAGTATTTTAAAAATATTCTTGTGCTTTTAATATTTAGGAAACACATACTTTAAAACCACCACTTAAAACCCTTTACCTTTTGCATATTGTATGTGTACAGTTTTACAAATGGTCATTGTGTTTGATAATCTACTCTCATTGAGTGATAAAAGTATTTCAACTTTCTAGTTTTCATACTTAAATTTAATGACTGTTTATATTTGATGTATACTAGTTTATTCAGCTATGCTGAATAAAGGAATTCATTTATTTGCCATGAATTTACAGCATGAATTTAAAGAATGACACATCTGAATTGTGTTTTTTGGAAATGGTCAAGGAAAATGGTCTGCAAGATCAAGGAAAAACTATGATTTTCCACCCAGTGAATTTAGAAGGTAACTGAGGAGGAAGAGATTTGTCAAAATTCTTCAAATTAAAAGCCAAACAAGATCTGAGAAGCTAGGAGATGGAGCAGGCAAAACAAAGGGCAAAAGTCAAGATCAGAGAAGAGCATAAATAGGAAAGGGACCAGTGGGTCCTGAAAAGAACTTCCCTTTTCTAATGAACACTATTGTGTAGAAAGTTTAAGGAGTCAATGATGGTGACTCTTCTTTTTTTTAATTAATTAATTTGTTTTTATTTGGGGCTGTGTTGGGTCTTCGTTGCTACATGTGGTCTTTCTCTAGTGGGGCGAGCAGGGGCTACTCTTCGTTGCGGTATGTGGGCTTCTCACTGCGGTGGCTTCTCTTGTTGCGGAGCACGGGCTCTAGGTGTGTCGGCTTCAGTAGTTGTGGCTCACCGGCTCTAGAGCACAGGCTCAGTAGTTGTGGCACATGGGCTTAGTTGCTCCGTGGCATGTGGGATCTTCCTGGACCAGGGCTTGAACCCATGTCCCCTGCATTGGCCGGCAGATTCTTAACCACTCTGCCACCAGGGAAGCCCCAATGATGGTGACTCTTGAAGCAATTCAGGTTCCCTCCTTTTATATATACTTTTGTCTGATAATTAACCATGTGTATAATAAAAAGCATACTGCTCCCTTTCCTTCTAAAATATTTACTTGGACTATATTTGAAATATAGGTAGCTAAAGACAAATAAAGGAATTACATGTTATCTTAATTGGAAAACACAATTCCTGGTTCTTGACTACCTGTGCTCTGCAAAAAGTAAAAGGTTAGAATAGTCTATGCAAACCTTTAGTCCTGAATAAAATTATTCTTCCTAAAATTTCAGGCATTGTTTATTGGACCTATGACAGGAGCAGATTATGTAACAATATATTAGAATGAGTGTTTTCAATGATTATCTAATCCTTATCATCATAGGGAGAACCAACATTCTGTGCCCCATGAAGGCACTAACATTCACTTTTTTTTTTTAAGTATGGTTGATTTACAACTTTGTATTAGTTTCAGGTGTACAGCACAGTGATTTGATATCTTCATAAATTATACTCCAATTAAAGTTACTATAAAATATTGGTAATATTCCCTGTGCAGTATGTTACATCTTTGTATATTATTTATTTTATACCTAGTAGTTTGTACCTCTTAATCCCCTCCCCTATCTTGGCCCTCCCCCCAGTCCTCTCCCCACTGGTAACCACTAGTTTGTTCTCTGTATCTATGAGTCTATTTTGTTACATTCATTTGTTTTATTTTTTAGATTCTACATGTAAGCAAAAACATACCGCATTTGCCTTTGTCTGACTTACTTCACTAAGCATATGGGTATATATCCAAAGAAAATGAAAACACTAATTAGAAAAGATATATGCATCCCAATGTTCATAGCAGCAGCATTTACAATAGCCAAGGTATAGAAGCAACCTAAGTATCCATCAATGGGTGGATAAAGGAAATGTGATATATAATTAGATATATGTGTATATACACACACACAATGGAATATTACTCAGCAATAAAAAAGAATTAAATTTTGCCATTTGCAACAACATGGATGGACCTGAAGGGTATTATGCTTAGTGAAGTAAGTCAGACAAAGAAAAACAGATTCATTCTTAATTTCAGCACCAAGTACTCATCATAAATATCACGTTACTGGCAAAATAATCATGATACATTACTATTATGTTCCATAGACACTAATAATAATTAAGATGATGATATTGATGATGATAATGGTCACAGCTCATATTTTTGTAGTCCTTGATATTTTCAAGGATGCCCTGCATAGAAATTATCCTGTATCCTCATATGCAAATTAGTGCCGACCTTAAGTTTAGGTACCTGGACAATCATAGTTTTATTCGGACAAGGGAAATTTAGTATGTCTACACAGCAGAACAGTTGTAATAACCAATATTTCCATATCTTCCCACATTTCTGGAGCAAATGAAAAGAACATTCAAAACACATGAAAACTATGACATTGAGAGTCACTTCTCAGTTTTCCCACCTGAGAATAGTAATGATACAGTAAGGATAAAATGGAGTCTCATGGATCTAAGTTCCTAGGCTAGTGCTTGGCACCTAGTAGATAACAGACATCTGTGGAAGTTGATGCTTACTCAGAAGTTACAGTTGGAGCATATTTCAGGAAGGACTCTAGTGGCAAGTGGCAGAAATCCAGTGTAAACTGACTTAAAAAGAAATTCATTGGTTCAGGTAACCAGCAGGTTGGAGGGGTGATATTACGTTAGTAATGACTAGATCCCAAGTCTCCAGCAGTGTCAGCAAGAGACCACCTTTCTGCTGGCTCTACTTTTATTCTATTGACTGCATTCTCAAGCAGGCTCACTTCACACAGTTTGTGATGCCCACCAGAAGCTCCAGGCTTTTACCTTCTGTGGGCTTCGTGATAATTCACCAAGTTATCATTCTAGCAGAAGATCTGGTGATGAGTCTTACTGATCAGGTCTGGCTCATCTTCTGAGCTGGGGTCAGGGAGGGGGAGAACCCTGCCCAGCCCACACGGATAATTCTTCAGAGAAGAAGAGAGATTCTTTTACCAGAAGAGATGCTGGACAAGCAAAACAACAGATGTCTAGTATACAGAAACGTTGTATACTTTTGTCCCATGAATGAGGAGTACATAGTGGGGATGGAAGAGATTTGGGAGTCAGGAAAATCATAATTTGGAATGTAACACTCTCCTGTGTGTTTATAGATACCGAGACTACCGTGACCCTCCTCATTCACTGGTGCCCTACGGCTACACACTGCAGTTCTGGCATGTCTTAGCAGCCAGACTGGCTTTTATCATTGTGTTCGAGGTAAGTTTTCTCAACCAACTCCTTTATTTCCTTTGACATAATGAAGTAACTAGAAGTAATGAATGAATGTAAGTTATGAGAACTTTCAATATGATTATTTACGTCCAGAAGCAGGATAAGTAATACTATGTAATCTCTTTCTCTTCTTTCTTTTTCTCCTTAAAGTACTTGAATTTTCTAAGAAATATTTGAAAGTCCAGGGTTGACTGTTAAAGAATAAGTCAGGAATCATTGGTCCTAAATTTATTTTTTTAGTATTTATTTTTAAAATTTATTTATTTATTTTATTTTTATGGCTGCGTCTGGTCTTAGTTGTGGCACGCAGGATCTTTGTTGAGGCATGCGGGATCTTTTGTTGCAGTGTGCGGGCTCTTCGTTGCTGTGCACGGGCTTCTCTCTAGTTCTGGCACACGGGCTCCAGAGCACATGAGCTCTGTAGTTTGTGGCACGCGGGCTCTCTAGTTGAGGTGTGCGAGCTCAGTAGTTGTGGCGTGCGGGGTTAGTTGCCCCACGGCATGTAGGATCTTAGTTCCCCAACCAGGGATCAAACCCGTGTCCCCTGCATTGGAAGGTGGATTCTTTACCACTGGACCACCAGGGAAGTCCCGTTGGTCTGAAGTTTAATATTTTAGGGCTACTGTTCTTAAAATTCAGGAAAATTGCAGTTTTTCCATCCCCACTCCCAGAGATTCTGATACATTATGTCTGCAATTTGCTTTTCACAGCCCTCCTAGATGCTTCTGATGTTTAAGGACAATGTTTGGAAAACACTGAACTGAGTGTTACAAGTGGTAGCCTCTGGTTATGCATCATCATGACATTACTTATAAAGTATAATCTACCTAGTAATTGCCTGTATTATGTGTCAATAAAAATACACCATCTATTTTCTTTTAGTCTTTAAGAAAAGTGCTACTAAAAATAGTTTGCATTCCCATAACTATACCCATAAATGGAACTTCCATCTCTCTTGTTACATGCTTATATTAAAGCCAGATTAATACAAGTGAAGGCTGCCTCTTGGCTCAGACTAGAAGTTTCCTATTCAGGCATATCTCGGAGATATTGTGGTTTTGGTTCCAGACCACTGCAATAAAGTATTTCACAATCTGTGAAGCATTTCAAAATATTTTCTTAAAATTTTCATAATAACACCCATTTTGTGGATGAGGGAATTGAGGCTCAGAGTGACTTATCCTCAGGTAAACAGATAGCTCTTAAGTGGTAAAAGCAGAGCTGGAATTCAAACCTGGGCTTTCTGATTGCGCAGTGTATTCTTCTGGCTCTCCTTTGCATTTTCTGGCCATTGCTTCTCCGCCTTCTTTCCTGAGTCCTCTTCTCATTTCCTGTATGGTGCCATTACACCAAGTTCAGTCCTCACCTATCCCTGTGACTCTGTTTCCTCTCACACGCACCCCCTGGCCTTATTCCACTTCCCAGACACACCAGAGGCTCCACATCCCTGTTCTCGACCAGCTCCCAGAGCTCTTTCCGCTAAGGCTGCACAATAGACCTGACTCTGTTGTATTCTCCCCTGTGTTTTTAGCACCTCGTGTTTTGTATAAAACACCTCATTTCATATCTGATCCCGGACCTCCCAAAAGATCTAAGGGATCGAATGAGAAGAGAAAAGTACTTGATTCAGGAGATGATGTATGAAGCAGAACTGGAGCGTCTTCAGAAGGAACGAAAAGAGAGGAAGAAAAATGGAAAAGCACACCACAATGAGTGGCCGTGACCAGGTCGGTGAGAAGTGTTTCATGGTCTGAAACCTCTCCTTGGCTGGGAGGGGCACTTTCAACTGCCTGAATCACAGCTCCTGATAGGGGTGCAAATAAATCCTTTAGAAGCTTTCAAAACCAGCTTGTTTCTTACTAAAATTGCAAATTTAACTTAATCTTCCCTTTCCACACAACTCCTGCAACTCTTCTCTGTCTCTGTGTCACACTCTGGCCTGGCAGCCAAGGTCTTCATGAGTTGGCCTAGGTGTCCCCTAGAAATAAACCCTCCTCCCCCTTCCACTCTAGCCTGGCTATTCTCTTTCATCAGAAAGAAGGGGCATGTTACCATGGGGATATTAAAGTCACTTTTTCATCTCACCCAAGATGGCCTTCCCTCCATCACCCATTTATTGTTTCCTCCCAGGCTGATCCATGTCAGGCCACACCCGCTAAGCTTTCCTCAGACTCATCAGCCCACTGAGACTTACTCTTTATAAACACCTCTGGTTACTGCATCAATACCACATGTACTGACAGATACTGATATGTGTTGTTAATTTGTGATTTTCAAATAGTTATTAGGCTTCCCCAGCACAACTGTAAGCATCTTTAGGAAAGTCTCTAGGGACTGTAATTTATTCTTCGAGCTGGTTAGCACAGCGGTAAGTACATGGCACCCACTAAATGCACATTTAATTAATAAAGGTTGGGTGCATTACGCTTAAAAACACTGTAAGAAACTCTCATGATGTTCCCACATATCAGAAAGTTCTTCTGAAACCTTCTCTCTGGCAAGGCAATTACTATCTGTGTGTCCTTGGACAAGTCACTTAACTTCTCTGTGCCTCAGTTTCTTCAGTGATAAGATGAGCCCTCAGTTTTTATACTCTGTGAATCTAGTATTCCAGCATTTCTTTTGCCTTCCTTGCCTTCATTCCTCTCTCTCCACTTGTTTGGAGACTAACTTTGAAACGTTTTCCAAAATTTGGCCTCCAAAAGGAAAATGAGATATACAGGAAAAAATGTATGTTTTTCACTTTTCATATAGGTTACAATATAGCAGATATCTACAGAGATGTTTGTTATTAAAATTAGTGAAGTTTTATCCTGCATTAAGAGTCCAGGAAGTTATTGTGAGTTGGGTATGAGGGTGGACTTGGAGGATATCACCTAGACCCCAGGCCACAGGGATAATATAATAGTATACAGATGTTGAATTTGTTCTGCCCTCAATTCCAGAGTAGGCCTTGGCTTCACTAAAGGCAAGAAATGTTTTGCTACTTAGTAATTTTGCCATTTTCCAGATCTGCCATTTGGCTATATGAGTTCAGGAAAATTACTCAATTTTTCTGAGCCTGTTTATTGGGTGGGACTAATTTGCAGCTCAAATAAGGTTATGAGTGTGAGACATTTACAAAACAAAATGCTGTCAAATATTATATCGGATTTGCACTGTTAAGCGTTGCATTGTAGTCCAGCGGATTCTAGATCTGGCTGTCCGTTCTCTATCTGTATGACCTGGGGTGGAGGATTCCTGTGGATTCAGTGTCCACATCTTCAAGAGAAAAGGAGTTGGACTAAACAATACTTTAAAAGCCTATCTGGCTTTAACCTTCTGGGATTCTATCATTTGCTCCAAGCCGCTGGTTCCCTGCACCCATTCTGACCATTCTGACCACCTTTTCTCTGGCTCTGGTCAGCTTTCAGAGGAGAAAGGCTGACTATCCAGACGGCTTGAGTTGGGGCAGGAGGCACACATTAGTGAAGAGAACTGCTCCAGTGCCCAGAGACCAGCGTGCCGCGGTAGACTATCGTCACCTCGGGGCTGTGCTGGACTGCAGGGCCCTTCACACTTGAAAGTTCCTTCTAGCCTCAGCATTATGGGTTGCTTTCTCCCCCAAAGAGGACATCTGTGCATTTTGCTTGAAAGCATAGTCTTTGTCTGTCTCTATTTTCCCAACAGTTGGCAGGAAGTCACCTTCCTTCAGACTGCCTTTCTGACTCAGTCTGTTCATCTGTAAAGCAGGCACAGCAATGTTTATACCATACCTGACAGGGTTACAGATTCTTCAAATGCCTTTGATTCACACTAAGTACAGACCATTGTACATAAGGTCCTTTAAGCCATCATGTGTACTTCGGATTTTAATACCTTTTTTTTTTTTTCTCCCAGGTAACAGTTCATTTGCAGGCCAAGGACCTGAATTCTGTTTACTTCTCCCAGCTGTGCAAAAGCACATTCCAGTGAATGACTAAAATGCAACCGCAGTGCATGTCGCCGAGGTCGGCAGTGGCGGGGGGTCAGCACACTTAAAGGACTGCCTGGGAAACCATGCTGCTGTGAAATCACATTGCGGCTCAGCACACAAATGCTATCTATCCATAGACCATTCCTGACCAAGCAAGCATGCACATCATGGGCAGTTACATTCTCAAGTTTTTAAAACCAAGGGGAACTTGTATACTGGGCCTGTTTTTCAGCCTGTTTGCTACCTTTTTTGCATTCTATCCCATGTGAATTTTACAGACACTGGGCTGAAAAGGGTATTTGGACACCTGGACACACATTCCTAGAATGTCATATGGTCCTAATTCCGTGTCACCAAACAACACAAACAAGACCCTGTTTACAACTTTTTTTTTTTTTTTAACTTCAGATCTTTCTGAGGAGATTATATATGACATATCTATAGCTATGTGTATGGCCATAGATGTATTTCTGTGTGTACATATGTATAGTCATGTATTCTTACATATGTACATACAAATACAGAGATATATAAAAGTACATAGAACTTCCTTACTTGTAAATAGCCAAAAGGTACTGACATGAATGATGAATTTTCACATTTAAATAGTCATCAACATGAAGCCATGTTTAATGCTTGTATAATGTGATGCAATAAAATTTAAAATAAATTTATGCACATGGAATATTTTTAGCCGGGTCTTCTGAAATTCTGTTGTAGTTTCTTCTCACAGAATACGAGGAATCATAGAGTGGGGTCTTTAAAGAAAGTCTTTCACTCCCAAACACTCCTGAAAAATCACTTCGTCCTTCAGAGAGACTACATTTTTCTTCCTAACCTACCTCTTCCATACTTCCATTCTACCTTCTTAGAGAGGGTACCAAGCCAACTAATTAGAAATCACTCAGAAGAGTTTGGAAAATGCCACTGATGCACTTTGTTGAGGAAATGTGAAATATAACCACTGATACATATGATGCTTTTGATTACCCTGCCTGCTAGTATGCTCTGCTGATCCTAGCAAAGGGACTGTCTGTCTGGATGAGGGAAGGGGGGCTGGTGGGGGAGTTTCCTTCTAAGCAATGCCTGTTGTTGTAATTACTCTTCTTCCAGAGATTGCAGAACCTGACTTTGAATTATGTTGTCAGCTTGCCTGTGCCAGTCAGGGAAATGGGAACGCTCCTATTACCGCATCCATCAACACTGTCTCATTTTGGCTGTGGATTCCTGAGCTGTTGGATTCCCAGGAACCTTAAATGTTTCCTTAGATGGGAACAGTTGGTCAGAGTGGCTTTGGGCAGGCTAGAACTTCAGCCATTTCATAGTTTCTTCCTAGTACTCCTTCTGACCTGATGTTCCTAGGAGTGAAATGCAGTTAACCCTTGAACACCACAGGTTTAAACTATGAGGGTCCATTTATAAACAGATTTTTTTTCAATAAATACGTAATACAGTACTACAGGACCTATGATTGGTTGAATCCATGAACCGTGGATATGGACGGCCAACTGTAAAGTTATAGGCAGATTTCTGACTGCACGGAGGTTGGCACCCATAACCTCTGCACTATTCAAAGGTCAACTGTACTAACCCTAGCAGACCCTAAACTAAGGAGATGTATTTTATGGGAACTGAAGACAAGCGGCCATTGGTAGAGTTATCTTTTCAATCATGGCTAAGAAGTCTGTGAAATATTTCACATCAGCCCTGGGGAAAGGAATTTCCAAGGAAAGTCTCAAAAGATGAAATACAAAGAGACACTCCAAACAGACAAATTGCTCTACTGACCCAGTATTGTGACTTTTGCTTGTTATGCCTGAAGCTCTACCTCTAAGCATCATGAACCAATAGATCTTTGGATTTAATACATCCATAGCTTCTCTCCTACTCCTTGGAGCAGGAAGAGTGGCAGACGCAGGGGGAAGGAATGTGAACTCTCCTTGGGTTTGCAATGGGCCATGAACATTCAGAACTAGGTAGAGGACCACCCAACGCACTGGTCAGCATAAGGAAGTAAACATTTGTCACGTATCGCTTTCTACCTGGTCTGAGTATAGACTGAACCTAAGACTCTGGCCAGAAATATCTTTTGCCCATGGAATTCTGCCTTTGCTATTGCAAGTGCCTCTGGCAATCACAATCCCTGATACATTTCTAGCATATAATTCTTCTCTTTCCTCCCCTCCTCTCTCCCTCCCTTCATTTCTTTCTACCAGCACAGTGAATACACTCATTCATCTTCCCTGTTTTTGGTACAAGGAACACGTAGTGAATATCTTAAGATGTGTTTAGGTTTGTAGAAGAGAAAGGCAAAGAAGGTTGTAAAGGGTAATTTCTGAGGGACTTCGTAAGAAATCAAGTGTTGGGAGTGACATCACCAAAATAGTGACATAGTTACTTTCTGACTTCCCTCCCTGTCCCAAGAAGAAAACTAACAACTATTCATGGATAAGACACCACTAAGAAAATCCTAGAACATGGCAGTGAGGCTGAAGCACCTCCCCTGCACCACAGAGACCAAGACAGACAACAGTATGGAGGTTCCTTAAAAAACTAAAAATAGAGCTACCATGTGATCCAGCAATCCCACTCCTGGGCATGTATCCAGAGAAAAACATGTTTTGAAAGGATACATGCACCCCAGTGTTCATTGCAGGGCTGTTTCCAATAGCCAAGACATGGAAGCAACCTAAATGTCCATCAACGAAGGAATGGATAAAGAATATGTAGTACATATATATAATGGAATATTACTCAGCCATTAAAAAGAATGAAATAATGCCATGGACAGACCTGGAGATTATCATACTAAGTGAAGTAAGTCAGACAGAGAAAGACAAATACCTCATGATACAAATGAACTTATTTACAAACAGAAACAGACTCACAGAGAACAAACTAATGGTTACCAGGTGGGAAGGGATAGATTGGGAGTTTGGTACTGACATGTACACACTGCTGTATTTAAAATAGATAGCCAACAAGGACCTATTATATAGCAGCAGGGAACTCTGCTCAGTATTCTATAATAACCTAAATGGGAAAAGACTTTGAAAAAGGATACATATATATGTATAACTGAATCACTTTGCTGTACACCTGAAACTAACACTGTTAATCAACTATACTCCAATATAAAATAAAAATTTAAAAAAAATCCTAGAACATAGGGGTGAGGCTGAAGCACCTCCCCAACACCACAGAGACCAAGACAGGTGATATTAGAAGGTAAGAAGAATGGCTACATGCTGACCACATTGCCCCTCCCCCAGGCCAGCAGAGCATCACATTGAGAGGTCCTCCCCTGAGCCTAGGGTTCCTTTGTTGGGAAATGAGACCCCAGGCTAAATATCTAGCCGCCACTGTGTTGTGGGTCGCTTCTTGGAAGCCCCCACTCTCGTCTCACCCCACAGGAATTGCGGGAAATCTATGGGGCTTGACCACTGAGAATCTAATTATGATAAAGAAGCAGGTAGGGGCTTGCAGCAACCAGCACTCGGGTCTTAAAAGACCAAGTTCCTACCTGCAGGGCCCAACCAGCAGTCCCAGTCAGAGGCTTTGCTCACCTGCAGAGCCACGACTAGGGAACTCAGTGGGGTGCAGGTCTGCCTGATTCAGGTCCTCAAATGAAGAACCTTGCTAGCCCTGGAGCCTAGTCTGCCCTACCCAGGCAGGGGAGCTGAGTTATAGCCCAGCCCACTGCTGAGTGCAGCTCCCAGCACCCACTGACCAGAAAGCCTGGAAACTACATAGCTCAGGAATGCTTGAGCACAGACTAGCAGGCTGAGCTGAAAATCGCAAAGTCTGTGTCACCATAGGGCCAGGGCACTTGGAAAAAGTGGATCAGATTGAGTCAAGACCACAAACAGCGAACCTTGCCAGGCCTGCAGGTGTCCAGGGCTCTGTCCGGGGAGGGAAACTGTCCGGGGCTCTGTCCGGGGAGGGAAACTAATTCATAGTCCCACCCACTACTGAGTGTAGCTCCTGGCCGCTCCTGACCAGAAAACCTGATCCAGAGCACCTGAGAGCACGCTTGGAGCTGGCCTTCCCATTTCACCCAGGCAGAGGAGTTATATCACCACTTTATCCACTGCTGACTGTAGCTCCTGGCCCACCTGACCAGAAAGCCTGGCCAAACCACCTGGAGGCTACATAGCTCAGCAACACTCAGGGAGTATGGCAGGCAGAGATGACTGACTGCAAAGCAAAGCCAGCAGCCCTGTTTGGCCCCCTGGGGCATGGGTTGACTCGCGTCAAGACCACAAACAAAGAGCTTTGCCACCCTTGGAGACGATTCTCCTGCTCTATCTGGGCAGGGAAACTAATTGTTGCCTGCCCTTTGCTGAATACAGCATTCAGCTTGCCCAACCATAGCACACTGGAAACTGTGCAGCCCATCCAACAGCCTTGCATACAGTGGTACTTGAACAGAGAACACAACCTGTGGCTTTTCTGTCTGCAGAGCAAAACCAGTGACCTCATCCAGCCATAGAAATCAGTGCACACTCTTGCCTGATTCAGATCCCCAAATGATGAGTTGTGCAGGCCCTGGATGAGTTGGCATGTCCTGCTGCCATACCAAGGCAGAGAAGCTAATTCATAGTTCTGCCTACTGCTTAGTACCCAGTTCCAACTATCTAGTAAGCCTGACCAGAGAACTCCGGTAACCGTGGAGTCCATCCTACAACCTCACCTAAGTAGGGAACAGAGCCAGAATTCTTATCCAACTGCTTTCAGCCAGCAGTACCACCCCAGACCCCAGTTTGGGCAGTGGGCTCACCTGAAAATACACCCTGATAGCAAGCCCCACCTGCCCAAAGTTATTACCAGAAAACATGTCCAGAAACCCAAACTGAGCCAAATGGTGAACTGTCTGTGTCAAAGAGAACCTATAAAGTCTGGAATTGGAGACCATTTACTAAAATGCAGATGTCAACGTAAGGAATCAAGGATCAAAAAAATCAGGTAAACATAAACATGACACCACCAAAGGACACAAATAAAGGTCCAATAATTGAACCTAAAGAAATGGAGATTTATGAATTGTCAAAGAATTCAAAATGATCCTCCTAAACAAATTTAGTGAACTATAAGAACACACAGCAGACAAGTAAACAATCAGGAAAACAATGCTAAACAAAACAAGAAGTTCAACAAAGAACAGAAACCATAAAAATAAAACAAATCCTAGAGTTAAAAATTACAATGACTGAACTGAATAATTCAAAAGAGAGATTCAAAAACAGACTTCACCATGCAGAAGAAGGAATCAGTGACCTAGAAGACAGGACATTTGGAATTGTCCAGTCAGGGGAGCAAATAGAAAAAAGAGTGAAGAAAGAATATGTGACTTATAGGACACAATTAAAAGAAACAATAGTGGCATTATGGCAATTCCAGAAGAAGAGAAAGAGACAGAAAGAATATTTAAAGCAATAATGGCAAAAAAAAAAAAACCCAACCTGAGGAAAGAAATGGATGCCCAGATTCATGAGGCCCAAAAGTCCCCACAGAGGTGAACCCAAGGAGGGCTACACCATGACACGTTATAATTAAGTTGTCAAAGTGAAAGACAAAAAGAATTTTGAAAGCAGTGAGAAAAAAGAGTGAAGCTACATACAAAAGAACCTTCATAAGACTGTTGGCAGATTTCTCCACAGGAGCTTTCCAGGCCAGGAGAGAATGGGATGATATA